GTTCTGCCGGCCGCGGCACAAAAGCAGCGGCCAAAAGAGCCAACACCTCTTCCCTCTGGGGCACCCCAACAAAACGCTTTTGTTTGGGCGAGACTGCAACATGTTGCAAGATCACCCCTAGCTGCGGAAAGGATGCTTAGAAATACTTGCCTATTTAATGTTGGTTCTTTCTTTTAACTTTTGTTTATCTTGTGAACAAGGAAGGTGCTGGATTGTTGTGGGTTTTCCATGTTGGCTGCCTCTCGTGAAGGAATTTACCTGGCAGCTGTTCCTGGAGAGGTGTGTGTTTCGGTTCTGGAAAAGAGCAGCATCCGTACCGGATGTTGCCACTACCTTCCCGGACAATGCAATTTATTATTACACAACAAAACAGCACCTAAAACTAAGAACTACCTCTTACAGTGAGGTAGTGCAAACTTAATTCCGAAAGAGTTGGGACAGTCAGTAAAATGCAAATAAAAACAGAAAAACAGAAAGCAGTGATTTGGAAATTCATTTCAACAAAAACAGTAAATAGACGAGATTGAAAGCTTATTGATTAACTTCATTGTTATCATAAAAATACACTCTCAGAAATAAAGATACAAAACTGTCACTGGGGCAGTACCCCTCTTGTCACAGGGGTGGAAACCTCAAGGGTACATCTCAGTGCCTTTAGCCAGGGAACATAATTGTACCATAATCCATTGAAATCATATTTCCTATGTTGTACTGACTCCACACATCCCGTCTCATCTCCAGGCTTTTTACTGTAGGCTGTTTATTATAAAAAGGCACAGAAACAGACTTTGAACCTGGGAAAACTTATTTAAACTACACAATTGGACCTTAAAACCACTATTGTACCTTTGAGAGTACATTGTTTGTACCTGGATGAACAAAAAATGCATCTGCACAGAACCTTTATTTCTAACAGTATACTCTCTTTATGAAATTGATGCCCACAACACGTTCCAAAACAGCACTGCCGTGTCTGATCCACTCAGACCAGCACAACACACACTAACACACCACCACCATGTCAGTGGTACTGCAGTGCTGAAAATGATCCACCATCCAAATAGTACCTGCTCTGTGAGGGTCCATGGGGGTCCTGACCACTGAAGAACAGGGTAAAAGGGGCTAACAAAGTATGCAGAGAAACAGATGGACTACAGTCTGTAACTGTAGAACTACAAAGTGCACCTATACAGTAAGTGGAGCTGATAAAATGGACAATGAGCGTAGAAACAAGGAGGCGGTCATAATGTTATGATCAGTGTACATCTTAATATAATTTTTTTTATAAGGGGGCTGCGAGACAATAAGCACTGTGAATGGAAATCAGTTGGATGTGTGATTACAGGAATGGTTTCTGTAGTTCATGATATTCCTGAGAGTGCCACCCATCAACATAAAAAAAATAATAATAATCCACTGCGCAGCTCTCATAACTGGAAAAAACTGGGCTGGTTAGCCTACCTTGGATGGTTGATTAGCCAAGCTTCTTAAAATGGCAAGGTTTCCCGGTCAAGTACAATATTGATGGGCAAGGGGAGCAGTGAGCTGAATGGTGCCGAAATTGCTCAATGCGAGCATCAGATACCCACGCTAATACCTTAAGTATGCTAACTCATTTGTGAAGACATTGTCCATCTGCTATCGATTTGCGCCTCTAGACTTGTACTGTAATGCTCAGTTCATTTAATATTGAGATGCAGCTTTATAGTTAACACTTTATTGCACTTGTCTATTTTTTTATGCCTTCTAGGAAACAACTTGTGTCAGTTATCCATTCAATAAGCACTGTTGTTGTAAATTACCAAAAAAAGTTAAAATACAAAAATAAATGTAGACGTTAGCATTTCCCAATTCTGTCCCGAAAACGTATCGTATTTTGACGCTAAAACGTGTGTCATACCATGAAATGTGCACATTATTACACCTCTAGTAGGTATTGTTAGTGCTTGAACACTGACACATCATATGTCTCATTACAAAAAGAGCATAATTAAGCCTATTTAATTAAATACAGAGTAAAAATCACTGTGTTAATAGTGTGATAGCATTTTTTAAACACACTACAAAAAAAATTGTTGTGTATTGTGTGTCAAGTAAATGTCAAGATACTCTATTTTGCTGTTATGTCCACCAATTTATATTTTTGCTTGTTAGACATCAAAAATGAAACAAAAAAAACAAGACAAAAAAGTAAAACAGACAACTCACAACAGTAACTTTGAATCATCAATTTAAAATCATGTTAAAATATTTCCTACTTAAATATCTATGCTAGCAAACATATGATATCAATTAAACATCTAGAATTCACACTTCAGGCAGAATTTCTCCACTTATTTCAACAAATACAACCGTTTCCTTCTCCGCTGCACCTTCACTTCTCCTCACAAAAAGCGAGATGATTACGCAGGTATGTTAACGTGAAAGAATACTAAACTGTGCAGTACTGTGGTTCTCTCAGAACCAAACCGTGCTGCCGGGCAGTCTAAGAAAAGCATGCTGGCATGAGGAGGCATGTAAGGACAGGCTGAGCGCACGGACAGCCCATTTAGTTCCGGAACGGACTGCGGTGAGCCAGCTGACAAAATGTTCCACGGATTCTCCATCTCAGCTGGAGAACGTCTCCCAATCTCGGCTCCACGGTCGGGGGTCTCTCTCCAATCGACACCACGGGACAGACTGTCCCGCATGCTTCTCACAGTCTGCCAGCTCCTCTCCTCCATCCACGGTACTTTTCCCAAGACACGAGTGTTCACCCTCCAGTTCTTTCACAGAAAATCAAAACTGGTGTCACTGACCACCCCACCTCCAGAACTGTCACATTCTTATATGACATCTCTTCCGCACCTTCAGGAACTCATGGAAGTTATAAAGCAGGGAGGCTCTCTTTCTCTCTCTATGAATGGGAACAACACTGGCTCAGTCTAGTGGACTGGATGGGCCCACTGGAGGAATCTCCGGTAAAATTAAGGCTTAGAGATGTGCATCATTTAATCAATTGCAATTGTAATGCATGGCAAGTAGGGGTGTGCGATATGACGATATCAGATCGTGAAGGATTATAATGTGTCCACGATACGCCATCACAGGGAGATCGCTGGATTGTGTTACAATGAACATTATATCCGCTGTAGTTCTATGCACACACAAGCAATGTGGGTTTTTATTTTCCCTCAGTCAAAGCACACTATTTGCTTGCCCCTTTCATGCCCACCCTAGAGACATGTAAATAAACCAATCATAGCATACCATATTATGCCTCGCTTTTCCCTCCCCTTTTTCACAAGCGGGAAGCCATGAATGAAACAACTGCGAAGAGTTAGTCCCCCAACAAAAGTCAACATCAGTAATATGGAACTGGTTTGGATTTGCCCAAACTGACGTGACACAAACCATGGTGATTTGCAAAGTTTGCACAGAGAAGGTTCTCACGTCGGACGGCTACACGACAAACCTTTTCAACCATTTAAAGCCACAACATCCCAAACAGTACGCTGAGAGTCAAGCACTGAGGAGGTCCGCTACACTGCAGCCAGCAGAGGCTAACGCTAACGTTACAGCAAGACCAAAACAAACAATGCTAACACAAGCATTTGAGAGAGGCGCTCCGTATGAGAAGACAAGTAAATGATGGAAAGAGGTAACAGAAGCAATAACATTTTATCTGGCAAATGATACGGTTCCTATCAAAACAGTAGAAAACGAGGGGTTTCAAAGACTCCTCAAAGTAGTTGATCCGCGGAATGAGTTACCCAGCTGCAAATACTTTTTCAACACCGCCATTCCACGGATGTACACTGAATGTCGTGCCAAGATAGGAAACAAAGTTCAAAACGTGATTTTTTTTGCAACAACAAGTGATGCTGGCTGTCATGCAGAGTGCACTTTACCTGATTGGTGGTGTTGTTTACCTTTTAAAACCAATGTTAATTTTTTGACTTGTGCAAAAATTGCACGCACAAATTAAAATCAGTTCAAAAAGGTACTTCGGCCAAAATGGTCTGTTATTCTTTTTTCTTTTAGTACTATATTTTTAAATGGGTAGATTAGTTTGGTTGTACTGTTTAGTAACTGTTGAGCAGACTAAGGGTAACCATGCCGCAGTTTACAGTCAGGCACTCTCATCACCAGATGAGTAGTAGAAAAAGGTGCTAAGTTTAGAAACCAATCCCTTGTAGGATATTCCCGAGCTTTGTTCCCCTCAGTTATTTCAACATGGAAATGAACTGTTCTGGTGCACTCTGGCGAGAATAAAATACAAGGAAAGTGATCCCTGTAAAATGACTCAGTTCTTTCGGTTCAACAACTATGCAAATTTAAGTCACGTCAAAAAGGTTACAAGGTCAATGTGTACTTATTATAATTAGAAGCCATTCTAAACTGGGCTCCATAAGGTGCTTGGACCCCGACGATCGCCATTTGGTACACAATTTGTCAACAGTCCCTTAGCTCTCATAACAGCAGTCCAAAGATATCAACATGTTCTATGTCAAATTCAGACAAAGTGGTAGCTGATCGTATTGGAGGCAAATAATTATCATTTGCACATTTTAACCTTTGCGCACCACCATTTGAAAGCTATTAAAGAAAGAATTCTGAATATACGAAAAAGAAACCAACTTGCCTCTTTCCACGTTTTGTACATTTCTGGTTTTATTCATCAGCATCATCAAGACACTGAACACCAGTAATGTCAGTTAAGGTTATGTCATCCAGCAGTCTGGAAACCTGAACTGTTAGCTTCATTATTTGACAATTTAACATTAGCAAAAGGTAAAGAGCTACCAAGTTAACCTCTAGACTTTCATAGCAGCAAACAAGAATTAAATCACCCACTTTCAAAACAATGTGCTGCTGTAACTTCTAGTGAAATGGAAAAAATTCCTTTAAATAAAGAAAACAATACATCCGTGGATTGGCCAAATAAATGACCATGATCTGCAGCCAAACCTGAAAGGAAGATTTTTCCAAATCAAAGTAAGACAAAAACATAAACACTGTTTTAAGTCTAATCGTAGTTTTTTATTTATACATTTTGTGCAAGGCGTTGCTGGTATATCAGAGAACGTGTGCACTTTGTGTGTGATTTCAAGGACAAAAAAAAAAAACACCATAAAAGGAGAGCACCTTATATGGTTATTCAAGACAGCCATAATTCTTAATTATACCGATCAGACTAATACATGCTTTTGTTGTGTATGTAGTTAGCTTGCATTGTTATCTTGGATTTATTTGTAAGAATGAAATTTTTACTTTTTTAAAGGCCCCATAAAACTCAAAGTCTTCATCAATACATAGACATATCTACACATAATGAATCACCTGATGATGTTCTTCAATGAACATAAGAAAATTCAAGTTAACAAAAGACTAAGAAATTATTTTGGCAATAAAAAAAAATAAATTCACAAAGAACAATAGCCCCGTGCTATTACGTGAAGCTTCAGTACCTCCATAATTTGCAATCATGGCTTCCAACATCCATTGCATAATGCTAACTGCTAGTCTTCGTTCTTAGCGACAATGGAATTTTTGGCTAAAATATTTGAAAAGAAAGCAAAATAAAATCTACAGCCTTTAAATGTAAATACAACTTTTAAAGGAATAAAATTTAACATTATTGCATCATTGCATAGGAAATGCAGAGCACTCTAAACAAGTTTTGTACCCAAAAAAATAACCCAAATGGTGTGCTCCAAAAAAAAATCAATACAGAAAATCCAGATTTACATTATTTTACACAAGTGTCAGTAATGAAAATACTACAGAAAAGTAATAAAATTTGGCATTCATGAAAGGATTTCACTGTATCTACAAGAAAACGTTCATTATTGATGTTTGTGTGTGGTTCTAAAATGGATGCATGATTTAGAAACTAAATTATACTTCATTTCATCCACACGATAATATATTTTATAATGATACTGTGCCTTATAAGAACATTATAATAAATACATTATTTCATACCTACAGGATATCATAACTCTATTCCATACCATACTTGTACTCAGTTTTCATTACAGGTTAAAACTACACCTGAATTACAGAAATAAATTATAATAAGTAATAATAAGTCATTACAATTTCACATCATGTGCATGAATAAGCTAACAGATCCTCTTTTGGCAAACTCAATGGCCTGACGCCATGGCTCAGTTTGAAAGGCATTTAACAGCCACCTGGTTTAGTTAACTGCTGAAACTTAAATCTGGACATTTCTCATGCTAGCAATATTTGGCTGCTTTAGATGTTAATAAGTAGCAGTGCTGCTGCACCAGGACGAGGATGGACAATGCCAGTCTTTGAGACCAATGGCACTATGAGGTTTAGTATTGGAGAACCCAATACTGTGATTGTTTCCCACAAATGTAATATGATGTCTTAACCGATCATGTCATAATACTTTTATTGACAACGAAATGCCTTATTACTTGATTGGAAATGTATTATATTTATAATTTGAGTATTTTTGCTTAAATTTGTTTTCAAAAAGGTCTTTTACCCTGCATCTGTGCTTTACACAAGAATCAACCCAGTCAGTGATGAGGGGACCATCAATAAGACAAAGTCAATTCTTCTACATTATTGAGTTTTATTACATTTTTTACTTGGTTAAGTGCAAAATCGTATTACATTATTGGGAGATTATTACCGTGTTGGGTTCTACAAGTGTTTTCCCAATTCCAACACACCAGAATCAACTCATGAGTCTGCAATGAACCTTTGATAATATTTGATAAACTATTGAAATACCTGAAAACATCTGAATAACCGACATGTTTACCACTTTTATGAAAACATGCACTTTCGTAGGGAAACAATGGAGACTGGCGTGGCTTGCAAGACTAATCCTAACTGATTTGAGGCAACAATTTTTATCGCTCAGTATAGTGCAAATAAATTTGCTTCTTTTCTGGACAGCATGCTTTAAGTTTTGATTCTTTACAAGAATACATGAGAGTGCTTTGGCTACCTTGCTGTCTGGAGTAGTAGAAAACGTATTCAGGTAGATGTTTGTGACAGTTAACATCCCTGGTTAAATCACATGTTCTGACAAATTTCTAAATGAAATTGTCAACACACTTAAATATGGCATTTTTCTATTTCCATTTGTTCGCGAGTTTAACATATTGAGAAAAAAATCAAAACAAAACAGAAAATGTGCCATAAAGTTTGCACAGACCACATTTTAAGGTTTATTGTTTCCCCAGTATGTTAAATTCAGCAAATAAACAGTAATTGTGCATTAAAAAGTGCAGAAGGGGCACCAAAAAATATTTGTATATGACTTTTTAAATTGGTTTTGAGTGTCTTAAAAATTTTGATTGCTTGATCAATGACAGAGCTAAACAAACAAGTTGTTTTCATTTTTAAGACGTTTAAAAAGAGGGGATGCACTGAAATGCTCTGAAAACTGTTACAAATGGCACCATTTTGAAAACATTGAAAACTGCAGCAAAAAATTGCAAAAAACAACAAAAAAAAGCAAAACAACGAAATCTTGAACACCATCACAATGCAGCAAAATCGAACACTTAATAAATCATTTGAATGTTTATGAGAAGAAAAAATGTCCCAGTTTTGTTTTCCTTCACTCTCCTAATCTGGTCAGCACAGATGCGTTCAAACAATTTGAGCGGCAGCAAATCAACAGTGAAAATGTCGGCTATGTGTAACTATTTCACTGTTTTTTGTGAGAGAAATCAGAAAAGAAATTCACGATCTCTGTTCATCCTAAGAATAAGGAGAGTGTACGATGCTCAGGAACCTCTCCAAATTCAGGTTTGATTCCTCTGGAAAACACGACAAGCCCGCTCAATATTTATATCAGTATAAGTTAAACACTACACTTTAATCGCTTATTAACGCTAGTTGTTTTCCAATGATAAACAAAGCATTAGCTAGCTTTGTGGTCAGCGTTATAAGCTGCTGTAAGCGATGTTGCCAGAGTCGTTTTGGAAGTGACGAGCTATGGAGAAAGGATAGGACCACTGTTTGTTTATTCATGAGAATTCACACTGTTTTACTTGTTATTGTTTCAAATTTAAATAAATCTACAACCAAGTTTGTCAAGAGCTTAGCTTACACCACTCAACAACTGTAATGTTAAACACAGGTTAATGTTGCTGTATGTCTGACTGGTTTTCACTTTACTGTAGCTCGTACTGGATGATAACATCGACACGCCGATTTATTGGTCAGACTCTAATACGTATCATGTATCATGAAAATTTCTTTCAGTAACGAGAAATATTAATTTTTTCATATCACCAACCCCTAAAGCTGCAGAGTTGCAGTCCTAGGCATGAGCTGATTAAGCCCTTAAGGTTGAATGATGTGTGTTAGAGCAGAGGAAACACTAAACTGTACAGTGTTTTGTGTTAATTTTTCCATACTGGAATGGCCCATCCCTGTCCCAGGAGGTAGTGGTTCAGCAACTCACTGCTGCACAGCAAACGGTTTGTCCTGTAGCTCTAGTCTAGCTCTTTGCTGGTTGAATCTAACTGTATGATGTGAAATTTGCTTTAGCTGCTGCTGAGTTATATTTAATTTCATCCATACAATACAGGCTTGGGATCTTTTCCCATTTAGTTAGATTACTTGTGCTCAAATTCACACTTTTTTCTAAACTCAAGAGAAGGGGATTTACATTCCTACAGAATTCTTAGCTTATGCCTTAGGTTATCCAGTTGCTCAAGCAAAAAGCTCAGTTTTTATACAGTGCTGCTTGAACGTTTGTGAAGCCTGAAGGGATGGTTATTATTTTCCCCAAAAACTCTCAAATGATATTAACAGATGGCATGACATTCTGTTCAAGAATCTCCTGTTTAACCTCAGAATTCATGTTTTGTTAACGATGCATGAAAAACAGGACCCAAATCTTAACACTCCCACCACCATGCTTTGCTGTTAGGACAAGGTTCTTTTGTTGGTAGGGAGTGTTAAGTGATTCTGATTGTGACCAAAAAGGTCAATTTTAGACTCCGTCCAGAGAATGACTTACAGGTTCCTCCAGGTGGTAACTGGGAAGATTAACGCGGCCAGTGTCTTTTTGACCGCAGAGGCTTTCTTACTTGCAACCCTTCCATAAATGCCATTTTGATTGTGTTCTTCTCATCCCTGAAGCATGCACAGTTACCTGAGATGCAGCAAGGGAGGTCTGCAAATCTCTGGATGTTATGTTGGCTTTAAACTGATTTGTTCTTTTTCTTGTAGATCTTAAGGATATTTTGGAACGGTTTCCATTCCTAGGCTGGAACGCTGTCATGATAAACGCTCTCCATTTGTAAATTATTTGCCTCACAGTGAATTGATGGAGCTGAAATCTTTTTGGAGATGCCCCAGATGAACTGTCTCATGTCCTGTTTTTGAGCTAGATGTCCCGCTTGGCATGGTGTGTTTTGCATCCACCTGCACGGCTCACACCAAACTGACCAGGTTTCTCCTCACTATATGTCACAGTCCCGCCCAAACTGTTTCCTAAGATCTCGTCTTTGATTGGTCTTTGATAGGTTCCCAATCTTTTCCACATGATCTGCACGATTTTGATTAAACCAACACACAGATTTGGTCAGACTGTTCACTGAAATTGAAAACTGAAAAAGATTTCACAGCAGAACTTAAAAAACCTATAATTATACAAGAGATTCCTTGCAGAAACTTTCAAGCAGCACTGTATGTGAAGCAGCTCATAGAACTGGCACATTTACTCACTCGCATTTAGCAGGCTGAAAATTCTCCACAAGGGGGCACCAGTAACAATCAAATAATGTAGCAGTGCTTTGCATTAATGACACTGTGCTTCTACATGCACCCCAGAACATTCAATGAACACCTGTCACAAACATTCACTCACCTCACTGCTCCTCCTGCTACACTTAAGCTGTTTACTGTTCTCACAAGACACTCATTCATTGTCCCACTGGTCTACAGGTAAAGCTGTTCACTGCAGCCAATCTTCAAGCTTTTCCTTTAGCATTCTAACACACACACACACCCACACACCCACAACCACACACCTAACTGGTCCTGCCTGACTCCTGCGCTGCAGCTGAAGCTGCTCATTGAGGCTGTTCTTTCAGCTGTTCCTTCAGAGCTCCTGTCTCTGTGGCTCTCCACACATGCAGCGCACTGCTGGAGGTGAGGAAGAGAAACAGGAGGAAGGCTATGGGAAAGCCCACCGTGTCCACCATGCCACCAGCCAGGGCGCTGAAGCTCAGCTTCCCCAGCACCTCCAGGGTGGCCAAGAAACTGTAGTGAGTGGCCTGAAATTGGAAAAAAATGAATTGATTAAGCCAATGTTTTCTGAAGGCAAGAACACTCAACAAACACCAGCATGCTAAAGATCTCTACACACTGACCACAATTTATTCATGCAATTTATTTCAGATATTAGAAAAAAAACGTGTACAACTGATGATATCTTGCAGACCAGACCCCTGTTCTAGAGTCTCCCAATGATCATACACAAGGTATGGTGCACCATATTAAAAAAAATAAGAAGAATTTTATTTAAAATTGCTTTCCACTCCAAACTCAGATTATAAAACTGCAAAAGTAATACTAACCAGAAAAGGAAAGGTCGTGATTGAACTTTAAGTTGGCTTGAAAAAAACAGCTAATAAAATTAAAATGTTAAAATTTTAAAAGACTGTTGATGGTTGCTAAAGTGTTTAGATGTTGCTGTGCGGTTGCTATGCTATCCAAGGTGGTTGGTAATGTGTTGTTGGGTACTACCTTAAACGGCTACTTTATATCCTGCAAAGTTTCGTGGTTCTAGCTCGAAAACTGCGAGAAAAGAATCATTTTATTTTTTGAGCATAGAATGATAATAAGAAGATGACTACAGAGAACAGTATGTTGGCTCTTAATTAAATAATGTGTTGTCAGATGTATGTTTAAAGTTTGGAGTCAGAGAATACAATGACATAAATGACTTCAAATTTCAAAGATTGAATGATGTATTCATTTTGAAATTTTCACTTTAACTTATTCTTATAAGGTCAAGTTGAGGAGGTCATTTTGTTCATTTAAGTATACAGTAGAATGCCAAGTCGATTTTTGGGTGGGAAAAGGCATTTGCAGTATTAGTTACTCCACAGTAGGCTCAGCTATTAGCATTACAATGGCTCTTGTTCCTCCAGGACTTGAAACTGATCTCCATTTTTTTTTTCATACTAGGCTTGTCAACATTCTATCTTAATATTTAACATTTGAGTGGTAAAGGTAATGCGGAGCAAATAGCGCGGCAATGTTCATGAACTTACAGCACAATCCAAAACCTCTTTTTTAAGCATACAAAGATGCAACAAAAGAGGGAAAACTTTCACAAAAAGCTCCCTGAACATTCTGCCGCCCATATAAAGCAATGTACACACGGTAAGCATGATGTTCTCACGTAAAGGCCTCCATACAACCACCTGCGCAAGGGCTTGATGGCTGAAACACTAACCAGCACTCTTCCATTTAACGGCACTGCTGAAGCCGAAAGAGCAATGGCTTCTCTCGCTCACACAGCCCCACCACTGGAGTTAAGTGGAGTACTTTTATTCCTGCAGACTTGTTTAAGGTGTTCCGTTTCTCTCTCCGGGGCTTTTCACAAGCACTCACAGTATTGGCTTTCCGTCACCCAATACTACCTTAAGAACACAAACGAACAGACGGCTGAACAAACACACATGCATACACACCACACACACCCATACCCAATGAGGTACAGTATGAACAGTATGTCACTAGGGCACTGCTAGGTACCCATAATCTACATTTTTACTGTATGAGGTTACAGTTTTGTGAGGTATGATGTATTCATATTGGGTCTTGATTTGAGATTAATTGGCCTCCTGTAATAACGTGGTTTACGCTAACCGTGAACAATCACATGCAGGCAGCACTGGCCCAGTTCATTCACGACAAAAGAGTTAAGAGAACTAAAAATAAACTGAAAATATAAATACCCTGCACCTGTAGTTATATTCTAATAATATGGATCATTCTATCTAACTCTTGTTCAGAGTTCAAAAAACATTTTAGAATTTTAAATGACTTGGACTTGACACTAAAATCATTTTGCTTTGAGTGACCCTATACTTTATATTCTTTAATTAAAATACACTGATCTTCAAAAAATTAGTAGCACCCAGAAGGAAGTGTCGGATTGCAATGCTATTCGGAAGGAAGATAAATGTTACCAGGAACGATAAATGATTAAAAATTTAGACAGATATAGGCAATATTTTTTGAGCTACATATACAGAAGTAGTGTCTCTAAGTACGGCTTTGGGCCGCCATGTTTGCTAACGGAGTTGTAGAGGTTCCTAATGGTGTCGATAATCCATCCCATGCATCTTAAATATTCTCACGCTGTTCCTGCAGATTTTGTGGTAGGGTTAGAGTGTTGACAGCGCGTCCAACAGCATCCCACACATTTTCAATCGGGGATAGGTCTGGCGATGCGGCTGCCCATGGCTTGAGACGGCAGCAGTATGCGGACGAGCATTGTCCTGTTGGAATAGCTCACCGGAGTGTGCGTTCAGAAAAGGTAGAGCCACTGGTTGCAGGACCTCATTAACGTAATATTGGGCTGTCAAAGTGCTTGTAATAAAGACCAAAGGTGATCTGGCATTGTACGAAATTGCACCCCACACCATGACACCAGGCCTTCGGGATGTGCGACGCATGACAACAAACCACTCAACACACGGACTCGTTGGTCGTCTCTACCAAGACAAAAGAGGGACTCGTCACTGAAGATGACCCACTGCCGTTCTGAGTCACTCCATGACAATCTGGCACGACACCACTGCAGTCTTTGGCGATGGTGTTAAGGGCAGTCATCGTAATGGTCTGCATGCATGTAGTCCGGCGTCGTGCAGCCGTCTGCCAATGGTGCTGGCACTAGTAGGATGACTCATGGAGGGCATCACTGCTCACTGAATGTCCACAATCGTGGTTGTTGGGTCACTTTGCGTATGTCAGACAATCCCTCGGTTCTCCCTCTCCATGGTTCATGTAGGTCTCCCAGATCCTTCATGTCGCTGGTGCATGCCTTCTTCTATCCACTGCCGCCAGCAGCATGCTATGGGTAATATCTGCATGACCGGTATGACGTGCAATACGTCAACAAGACCATCTCACCTCCCATAGCCCTACAGTGCGACCCCTCTCGAACTCTTCCTCTCTTCTTCTCTCGTGTTTCATTAGTGACAGTTGTTTATGTTCCACACTGGTCTTCAGACCTTGGGACACATGTACTTCAAAACAGTGGGATCTAACTGCTCACCATGTGGTCTTGAGGGACAGGGATGCAGTCTCACTTCCTGCTCTAAAATGATGCAGGGGTGTGGCTAAAATAAGACCCCGCCTATGGACTAACACTGTGTTTCATGAAAATGAGGGACAGCATTTTTTGAATAAAGTTTTTTTTTTTGATTATTTAAAAAATAAACTCATGGTAGAAGTAATCTTTCAACTTTATTTTAAAAGAAATCAAAAAAGATCATTTTTAAAACATGAATGAAATATAAAATGAAATAAAACATGAAAAATTAAATTTAGGGGTTAGGGTTTGGAACAGCCATGTCCCGATAGAAAGTACCCTATAAATGATGATTTTGCATGTATCTATTGTATTACTATCACACTGGGTTTAAATATGTTGTAACATAATTCTTGTAAATATCTAAGACCTGAATACTTTTATTTAGTACTCTTTTTGGTCTCATTTTATTTTGATAGTCCCCTACAGATTATCTATAGATGTTCAAATTGTTAACAAACAACCTGTTGAAACTCAGTGGTGCGATTAGGGTTAGAATTTGGACCAAGATCAGGGCAAGGACCAGGGTGAGGTTTGGGTTTTGGGTTGAGGTTAAGGTTAGGATTAGAGGCAGGTTTAGAGTTAAAGAAAATAATGGTCAATTTAGTAGATAGTTAGTTGAATATAATGTGAAAGTAAATTAAGTATCTACTAAGCATATAAAGTGGACTATCCAAATAAAGTGTTACCCTCCTTTTTTATTGGAGAGAATGACCTGTTCTAAGAGGTGAAGAAAGCCACACTCTAAATTTTAAACTTCCACTAATGAATTATCTATACATTTCAAAATTATTATTAAAATTCAAACCTGTTAGGGTGGGTTTGTTTTTTTTTTTCTCATAGTTAAAACAACAATGTGTATTACTTGACAACTTTTAGAAGTATTACTATGGTCTTTTATCTCAATGCTACAATACTTTATGCTACAACACTTTTCTAGCACTAGTGCAGCTCTAAATGCTCTAAATTAAAAAAATTCTGCATAACTCAATGACTCGGATGTAAACAAAGTCATTTAGAATGGGTTAATGTGAAATTGTTAACTGTAGAGAAAATTACTCTAATTTCTGGACAGTGATTGTGATAGGAACCAAAGGTTATGATGTCTGCAATGCAAATATAGCCTTTTTATTAGCTATCCAAAATGACCAGTGAGTTTTTATATATGTAATGTTAACAATGATAAAATTGTCTGCAAAAATAAGTTTTCTTTGAAGACTATTTTCCTTTACTTTAACACACTGCAAGTACCTCCCCACAATGAATGGATTAAAAATATATATGTTTAAGAAAAAACGTCCTCGAATCTATCATAAAACAATGTCTCAGACATTGTGCAATGTTGTTTACCATTTTGTGTAATAACTTTCGGTTGGGGAGATTTTAGAGGCATTAAACTTTTCAGATGTCTGGTTCCCATCATCACCACTGTAAACAATTCTGACTCTGTAAGTTTCTCTAGAACAGAGTATTTCATGTTAAACCACTCTGAATGACTTTGTTTACATCGCATTTTTTAGATATCTGGATATGTTTGATACAATTTAAGTCAGATGCTGATACAGAGTCTGATGCAGACGTCATTGCAAGTGGACAAATGTCAGTAGAGAGCATAAAGGATCATCTCCAGTCGTGTGGTCCTTCTGGTCTTTAAAGTATTTCCTCCCCTAACATGATCCAGCTCATGAACATCACATTAGCTGATGAGTTGGATCAGGTCTGCAAAAAATCCTTGAAGCTGTGAAGGGCGATGGGTTTGGTAAAAATTAGAAAAATCTTAGTGTTTATAAATAGCTTAGACATACGATTTCATGTCGAAATGCAACAAGTGACACTGCTTTACGACTCAACGTTCTGAATGCAGAATTTCAAAGCCAGTAAACAGCAACAGCCCAGTGATGCAATATGGCATAGTTTTGTACTAACAAGCTTGTGTAACAACAGATTTCTTTTTTGATATTGGGCTAGAAAGGTTAAAAATGTACTACCAAAACAGTTTATTATTATTATCATCATCATCATCATCAATTCAAGTGCTTTTTGAGATGACTGATGGGCATTGATGATGCATCTGAAATGAAGGTAGCTTTATCTCTCTTGATGTGTTGATATAAAAGGCAGGAGAAGGCCCCCGAGCTGACAGTGCGGAGCCGGTGAGTGACACTTGAATGGGCGTCCCTCGCCCTCTGAAGTTTTCCTGGTTATGACAGGCAGGTGAGAGAGGGAGCGGGACGAGGGCTGACAGCGCCGCGTCTGGATTCAAACGTGCCGAGTCCCAAAATCTCTCGCGCGCCGAGCTAACGTGGGGTAATGCCCGCTGTAAACTCACTCGTCATCGCTATCAGACAGGTCGGGGTATTTGTTTCTCTCCGAGTCTGCGTTTAATATGGAACAGGGTGACAAACAGCTATTTTGGCTTCTCGCTCTGTGAGGTCGCAATGCTCATCTGAGACCAGGCAAGGGAGGGGGGGGAAGGGAGGGGCTTCTCTCATCCTGTCACAATGTCTTAAACTGATCTAGGAGCAGAAAAGGAGGTGCTTTATGGTGCCTTAGTGAGTGTGGAAGATTAGAAAACTGGTCCAGGATTAGGAAGATAGGCGGTGTATGATACTCTACATAGGCAAAAGTATGTATATGAGATTCTTAGACATCCCATTCCAAAACCAGGGGTGTTGATGTGGAGTTGGCCCTCTTTCCAGCTGTAACAGTGGCATCCTGGCATCCACCAAACCCAGATCCATCCATCTACCAGATAGTGAAGCGTGATTCATCACTCCAGAGAACATTTCCACTGCTCCAGAGTCCAGTGGTGCCGTGCTTTACACCCCTCCAGCCGACACTTGGCATTGCACGTAGTGATCTAAGGCTTGTGTTCAGCTGCTCGGCCATGAAGACCCATTTCGTAAAGCTCTCACCACACAGTCCTTGTGCTGATGTTGCTTTCAGAAGCAGCCTGGAACTCACATCAGTGAGTGATGCAGCAGAGGATAGGCAGTGTTTGAGCACTATGTGCTTGAGCACTTGGTGGCCCCGATGCTTTCATTTCACAATAATAGAACTTACTGTTGGCTGGGGCAGATCTAGCAGGGCAGAAACTTCACGAACTGACTTGTGGCAGAGGTGGCATTCTGTGGCAGTGCCACGTTTAAAGTCAGTGAGCTCTTCAGTATGTGTCATTTTACTGCCAAATGTTTGTTTATGGAGATTGCATGGCTATGTGCATGATTTTGTGCACCTGTTATTTAATGCAATGGGTGTGGCTAAAAACACCTGAACTCAGTATATTACTGATCTAGGATCAGGGAAAGAGGTGCTGTATGGTATCTTGTTGACAGTAGAAAGTAATAAAACTGGTCTAGGACCAGGGAAAGAGGTGGTGTATGGTATCTTGTTGGCAGTAGAAGGTAATACAACTGGTCTTGGAAGGAAGGAAAGGAAGGAAATAAGAAGATCTGAAAAGGTCTAGGCTGACCACCTCAGCTGACAGCTAAGGACTAATGGGCTTCTCCAGGTTAAAACACTTACTGAAGGATTCACTGTGAAACTGCAACACACAAAGTAAAGACTGTTTTTTCAATGTCTAACAAGCTTCACCTGTCCACGAGTCTTTTTGCAGGCCTCCTAGTGGCCATGTCGCCAGTGGAATGGACTCAATTTATATTGATAATTTGATACATATAGTCAAATAAAATGATTTAATTCAAAATGTTATTAATTTCATTAAAATATTTTTATTTAATTGAACTGATTTAATTGAAAATACACTAACTTAGCATTATTGTAACGATGAATAAAAAAGGCTATTTAGAAGTAAACATAAGATATTAAGTTTTACTATTTTTTCACAGTATTCTTTATTTAATGTCAGCATGTTTCCCTGAGAACCTCCAGAGCTCTTTTGTGTCCATGTTTATTCATTTATTCAACTATTTAAAATATTTTTAGTTTATCATCGTGACCAATTTCCAATTCAGAGAACTCAATCGGCCAAAACAGTGCTGACAAAATCGACTACAGCCAACATTTCAGGACACATCACCAAAAAATATGGTCACTGGTCAGCCACAAAGAGCCTGTTGGCTTGGTGTGCCAAGGCCTTTAAACCTCAGGTGCTGTACCTGGATGCTCTCCTCAGCCCTCTGTGTGCAATTCATCATGGCGGTGAAGGTCAGTGTAGTGATGAGGCCTGCTATGAAATGCTGCACGCTCAGACTCAACACCGACACCCCTGAGAAAGAGGAGATACACACACAGAGTGAGGCTCAACACTGCCATATCTAAAAAGAGACTGTACACAATTATTACATAATCACAGATATTTCAGTTGACTCCAATTATTTTTGCCAGTCGTCAGCTTTCACATTTGTATCATGCAAAAAGTCATGCAACAAATAGACTCTAAACAGGGTGTGTCTTCATCCACTGGGTGGAGGCAAATGCAAATGTAAACAAAAGGTTTATTTGAGACATGTCATAGGTCTTACACAAACAACAAAGGTTCCAGGTTCTGACTGGGTGCTATAAATAATGTTTGTTTATTTGAGCTTGAGCTGTGCCTGTCATCAGTTGGGAGCTGCTAAGTATCAAAATCTAGAAAGCAAGACAGCTAATCAGCCAATTGGGCCAATTTAGGCTTGTATTTTAATAGTTCAATACAATAAACAAAAAAAGACTACTTATGGTTGCGCATTGCATCACATCATCAGATTTATCTTGTTCTTCTTCTTTGCCTGCCAGCCACCAAACTATATGTCCTCACTCAGGGCAAATCCCCAAGCTGTAATCCACAGCCATAGTGACCCACACTCCTCTATGTGTCATTTTTTCATCCCTCCTTCCTCTCATTAACTCCTATTCATTTTCAACAACACGTAGCTACCACTTAACAACTCCCTATGAACGACTTAAGAAACATTTTATACACCATGGCAACTGCCTAGCAACAATTTAGCAGCTGCACAGGATACCATAGAAACTCCCAAGCGACATCTTCGCAACCACCTGGGATACCATAGCAACCCCCAGCAACACCTTAGAAACTGGCTGGGATACCATAACTACCACCTACCAGTCCCCTAGCAACTACCTCGGACACCATGGCAACCACCTAGCAAACCAGCAGAAAGTGGGAACCATATAAACTGCGCAGCCATTCTGCGTTTCCAATCATTCACATTTCTAATTGTGAATCTCATTTATTTCTACAGCAATTAACATTAATCGTCAGCTAGAAATTTCAAGATCATGACAGATGTACTGTATACAAACACAAAAACACTTCTCTGCATTCTTTGGAGAAAATGGACAAAAAACCAACGAGAAAGAAAGTTGGAAAGAAAGCCAACTAGAGCCAACAGTTCGGGACACACTACCTCACGTACTGATGTAGCAAAATGTTCCTACATGTTTACCCAAGTTCCAATATTACCCTCAATATCGAATAAGAAATGTTTTAGCTATGTGACATCAATCTTCAGTATTTATTGTGTCCACACTTTCTTTTCATTCTTGCTTTCAGCTTTTCAAAGAAATCTGCAGGGATATTTTCTCCACACCTCCAAAGTTCAGTCTTAGAAGTTGGTGGCACTTTTACAATACAGGTAATCCCAAACCCATTCAATGATATTGTGGTCTGGCCTTTAGGGTGACCAGACCATTATTCTGAGAACATCAGCAGCTTCTTTGTTCTATAAGTACATCCTGATCCTCTCAGCAGCATGCTTGGGTAGAATTTCTTCTCAAACAAACGTTTCCCAGAAGATATTGCATAAGGTATTAAAATTTGTATCAAAATTAGACCACCAACTCCAGGTGTTGTTAGGCATCCCCAAACTTGCATTGATCCTCCATGCTTGACTGAGGGTTGCAGTAATGGTTCGAACATTCTTCATTGCTTTGGCAACATACATACTTTCGGTTACTTCCAGAGATCTCAAACTTAGACTCATCAGTCCAAAAAACTTTACTCCATCTCAGGTGTTCTAGCGCAAATGTTCTTCGAAATGTTTCTTAGTAACAGCTTAAGAGCTTCAAATCAGACCCACAGCGCTGAGTTGTCTTCTCACAACTCGAGGATGGACAGAAATGCCTGTGGATGTTTTCAGATCTGCAGCAAGAGTAAAGCTTGATTTTGTCAAAGCCTTAAGTACTTTATCTGATGGTGACAGTTTTGGTTGTCAAGAGTTCCATGTTCTCTACATCTTTAACTCTGTTATCATCATCATCACTGCTGGTTTTGAATACAGGCAGCATGTGCATGTTTATGGCAGGCGTGTACAACCAGGAAGACGTCCTGTTTTCTTTTACAGCATCTGAACGGCCAGCTACATGTGCACTGTTTATTGGTGGAAGTGATGGCTAAAGGATGCACTGTGGGAAGAAGACAAGCTGGTACACTTACTTGACACATGCCACCTACCTAAACGTCATTGTGGACCAGGTTTGAGGAAGATGACAAAGAGTTCCAAGTGTTGTCCTGGCCTCCAAATTCCCCTGATCTCAATCTAATCGCATCTTACAGGATTTAAGGGATCTGCTGCTAAAGTTTTGGTGACAGATACCACAGGGCAACTTCAGAGGTCGTGTTAAGTTCAATGTTTTCAGATCTGAAGCAAAAGTAGAGCTTGATTTTCTTCTATGTAAAAGCCTGAAGTATTCTATCTGATGGTGACAGTTTTGGTTGTCAGGAGTTCCATGTTCTCTACATCTTTAACTGTGTTATCATCATCATCACTTCTGGTTTTGAACAAAGGCAGCAAGTGAGAGCATGTTTATGGCAGGCTATGATGTGGCCACACAACTGGCAATGTTGGGGGCACCTCTGGACCCCACTCTGCTCGAGTGTGCCTAACAAGACTTCTACATTACTTACCCAGGAACCACAGGCACACAGATCAGACGCTCATACAATATTGAGAAACGTTTTCAGCAGGATTTTTTGGGTAAGGGTGCAGATGGGGTGCAGAGTATAGCTTTGTTCAGTTTCAGGGGAGAGGAAGAGAGAGTGAGAGTGAGAGAGAAAAAATTCATCAAACACACTTGCTGACAAAAAAAAACACCCTGACTAAAAAGCCACGACTTCAGGGGAAGCGGGGGAAAAAAGAGGAAGTAAAAAAACACAAAAGTGAGGCAGCTAAAACCCCAAGCTTTTCTCCACATTTTCTCTTTTTATTTTCATTAAATAAACATCCGAAAAAGCCGTGGCAGAAGAGAAGAGAGTGTCGGGAGTCGAGAGCGGGGGTTATTCATTTATCAAACAGAACACCGGGAATACTCAACATACACTGTTCGCTTCCAGAGAGGAGTGACAGAAATCTCCATTACCAAGCAGAGCTGGGAGATAGACAGAAAGGAAGAATGCTTGACATAACTTTGGTATGATCTCCTTCGTAAGACTTCAGCAGAAACACTGCCTGTTTTACTATGCCAAGCATGCAATAAGAACATAAAACCTGGGGGGTGAAATGCATTCATAATCAAAATTGAATTTTAAAGGTAAAATTCAGTGTAAAGCAAAGAAGTAAGGCTAGGTCAGGCTCATACGACATGGATCAACTGTGAATGATGCAAAAAATGTGCATTCAAATAATGTGTGTCTATACATCGATCAGGCATAACATTATGACCACCTCCTTGTTTCTACGCTCATTGTCCATTTTATGAGCTCCACTTACTATATAGGTGTAGTTCTGCACTCACACCAGCGCAACACACACTAACTTTGCAGTAACATTTTTTTTTTTTTGAAAAGCTTATGTTTTGTCCAATTTCCATCCTTATGCCCCTTATTTGCTTGCTCCTCTATGGGAATCACGTTAGCACCAAACTAACTGAGATCTACAAATCACTTCTCCACGCTGGATGTAAGACTACTTACAGTTGCTCTACATGAACAACAACATTCAACGTGTTTTCATGAATTCTTTGGTTGATATTTTAACTTCATTTGATTTTATGCACCGATATTGATTGGCTGTAAATTCCCAACTAACAATACCGTTAATGTTAAAGGGGAAAAAATATGATTAAATTAAATTTGGACATGTTTTCTACCTGTGAGCAGCTGAACATATAGTGTATGGAACTTTTTTGGCATTAAACTAACACGTAAATCGAGTAGCCACTTCCATCTGTGTTTTATACCAAGATTTCTTTTCCCATAGGAATCAGTCATAAATATTGCAATGTCCTGTAGTAAACTGACGACCTCCAACCTCCTTACATAAAGGTAATCTTGTCCGAATGGTACTAAAGACTCACAAGTGGAACCCGTTGTCTTCTTGGCGACACCAGATTGAACCGGGATACAAGTAGTACACATTTATAAGGACGAAGCAGAAGCATGAGATCATACTAAAGAAGATCTAGAGGATCTACAATAAATACAGTAAATGTATAAATACAAGCTCAGTAATGAATGTAGGGCAGGATTACAACTTCAAGAAAGAGGGTTAAAAGTTCATGCAGAGGTTGGCAGTCATAAAGCTCATTAGAAATTATGGCAGAAAACTGTGGGGAATATGATGATTGACTTTATCATGCACTGCCGATGATCTTGACACACTTGTCAAGGTCAGCTGGTGTCACTAAGTTCTTTCTGTGTGTGTGTGTGTGTGTCTCACCTTTCATAAGCGGGGAGGGCTCCAGCACTGTGAGCAGGGAACACTGAAAAACCATGCTGATGGTCCTGATCACGAACACACGCCTCATCAATAAGCCAATACTGAAACAAACAAACAAAAGCAAAAAAAACTGTTCACTCCACATGATTTCGCTGCACTTCTAATAAATATCGCTGTGAAATATATTGTTTGTTAACTGTTATTGTCCTATGTGATGTGAAAGGAGTGGTTCAGCAACAAATTTGATTTCTACATTTTCCATCTACCCCAGATGTAGCCGATCAGCCAAGACATGACTGGCATCCAAATTTAGCTACTTTAGTTGAGGCTATGAAGCTAACATTGCTAACAAACACTAGAGGCTAATAGTCACCTATATCTTTTGTGTAAATATAATCCCCAAAACTTTTCTCAACCTGCACAACCTGCACACATTTCAGGGTAAGGCTTCATTAAGGTCACGCAGGCATTTGATTCTTTTATCATGGACACCACTGTGCTTGTTAACTGAAGGAACAGAATTTTGAGTAAAAGAACTTAAAATGTACAGACATTTATGAAGAGTTCACGTCTTACTTTATTAAATATTCGACTGGGTTCTAGCTTGAACAAGTTTGGGAACACAGTCTAGTACACAGCCATAGCATATGTGAAGCGTGAAAAGGTTCTGTAGGAATTTGTAGGAGGCTGTGTTCACAGCGAAGTTGATTTATTTACTTAGATAACTTTTATATTAAATCAAATAAAAAAAATTATTATTTACACCTAATTCTGGTCCGTCATAATCGGGTTTAGCTGAGCTCAGTTATAGCTGGGTTGAGTTCAGTCACAGCCGGGTTTACCTGAGCTCAGTTGAAGCCGGGTTTAAATGAACTCAGTAACAGCCAGGTTGAACTCAGTCACAGCCAAACCTGAGCCGGGGGTACACTACACAACTTTTACCCCGATTTTTTGCCTCGATTCTCAGTCTGGCTGAGTCTGTGCTAGTTGGCTCTAGTCTGCAAATTTTTGGGTCAGTCCGAGTCGACAGTTGGAGAGAGAATCGAGTAGTGTGTGAGGAGCACAGGCTCCGATTTTTGGCCTCCTGATCTTGTTTCAGACCAGTCAAGAGTTTATCAAATGAGATTTTTTTTGTACATTTCAAACTCTAAAAAATACCAAACTGATGACACGTTGTTAAATGCAGGATCTTCAATTAAACATGTTTACCTGCTGCTTCTTTAATGTGTCAGAGCAAATGGCAGAGAAAACAGCATTAGTGAGCACCTTCACATTTGTTTATTTGGGTTTAGGGCCCATGTGTGAAACACAAGGCCCGCGGGCCACATCAGGCCCGCCACACAATCGTACCCGGCCGACAAAAGCAATTTAATTTTCTATTAATATTAGTCGCTTTCATAATGTGCTGCACTACCAGTCCCCAGCATGCACTGCAACCTAATGCACTGCGACTCTTCTACCCCAACAACAATCTATGGGACACCAGTTACAGCTCAATTCTACACAATTCTACACAATTCCACACCAGCCCTGTCACCAAAATACGTTTCAGCTGCAGTTCAACTAACATAAACACTTCACATCAGCTCTGCAGTTCAGAAATTGAGCCCAAGTCTTAATGAACTTGCAGCGAAGAAAGTATTCCAGGTGTCTAGTTCAAGCAAATTGGTAGGTTTAAAAGACCGAGCTCCTGGGGACATTAAAATTTCGAATATTTCACATGTCCATGTAATATTTCAAAGTCTACTACAAGTGTCTGTATTTTACTGTTTAACATTCATTAAAAAAGAAATAAACACATTTTCTTCGCTGGCCCACAGATTTGATGAGATTTTTTAATATGGCCCTTTTACTGGTTGAGTAAAACACCCCTGGTTTAGGGTGTGATCCCCAATATTTCAGTCGCCCAAAAAAATCTGTAAAAAACAGTCGGATAGTGTGAGACGCCCAGTCTTTTTATAATCTGTTCAAACTAGAAGTTGTGTAGTGAACCCACGGCTTTAGCTGATTGAGTTCAGTAATAGCCAGGTTTAGCTGAGCTCAGTAATAGCCAGATCAAGCTCAGCCATAGCTGTGTTGAGCTTAGTTATAGCTGGGTTTCGCTTAGTCATAGCTGGGTTGAGCTGAGTTTAGTCATAGCCAGATACAGCTTACCTTAGATATAGTCAGGATAAACTGGCTTTATCTAACCCCCCTCCAACTTATCCGCCTAAGAGTGACCACAACACAAGCACCACCAATGTTCCCCTACTTTAGCACTGCCAGACCTCACCACAACACACAGGTTTGAGGCTCTGTGCTCCCTGATGTTACAGTCAACCTAACCAGAGCATTTCAGTACTCGGATAAGTACCACTGAATACAAATACATAAAATTAAAACCGATTCATGAAATTTGTCGTGCCTTCACTGTAAACCAGCTTTTTATTGTACGCTTAAATGGCCATGTAGAAAGTGTGAAAAAAAAGACGAAGCTTCGGAAAACTAAATAAATTACCAAATACCAACATAACAAACACACACACGATTATTCAAATTACTTGTGCCAGTGCTGGAATTATTCCAAGAGTAAAAACTTGACACTTTGGGGTCACAGGACCAGAAAGACAGCAACACAAAGGCAGAATACTTTATATGAACCACACACACACACAATTTTTCCTCAGACAGTCTAATTGATTCCCTGTTAGTAGTTTAAGAGCCTCCTGGTGAGCTTGCTTCGTGGCATAATCAATAACACGACAAGATCCACAGCCACTGGCTGATTAGACTGGGTCTAATTAGTGACCATCAGATGCTACACACATACACACACTCTATTATCTCCTAGTGCCAATCAGAGCACCCAGTGGACCCTGTCAATCACGCAGACACACACATACCCAGCGCTCCCCGGGGGCACAGGAAATGAGTGTGTATGTGCGCACATTTGGGGGCGAGGGTTATCAAGGGCCAGTCTGGGATGCCAAACTGAGATGTCAGTGGAATTTACATCCCTTATCTGGCAAATTGCTGTAATTAATAACTGACCAATTGACCTGCAGTGCTGTAATGAATCCCCATTTAATCTTTCTGTCCACTAAACACAATAATTTCCTGTCCAAACTGCCATTTAGCACTAGTTATTCATTTTTCATTTACTACACGGAAGCCTCAACAACTGAATTCATCACACTTTACAGTATTTACTGTGTCCACTCTTTACCTTTATTACAGCTTCCATTCTTTTCAGGAGACTCGCTTTTAGATTTTCTAAGAAATCTGCAGGAATATTTTCACACCTCCAAAGCTCAGTCTTAGAAGTTGGTTGCATTTTCTGCTTCTCATCATCCAAGTAATCAGACACATTCAGTGATGTTGACGTCTGGACTCTGGGGTGGCCAGTTCCTTGTACTGGCTACACCAGCAGCTTCTTTGCTCGACCTGCAAATGTTCTTATTTTCTTGTCTTGGTAATGACTTCCAACAGCTACACATCCTTTCAGAACCATAGTGCTGAGTCGTCTTCTCACAGTGGAAGGATGGACAGAAACACCTGTGGATGTTTTCAGATCTGAAGCAGGTTGATTTTCTCCTCTCTCTCAAAAATGAAAGCTTTAAGTGCTGTTTATCTGAAGGGGACAGTTTTGGTGTCTACCAGGTCTTTCAGGTGGTCGTTAGTCCCATTTTCTCTGCATCTTTTAATCATTTTTTGAACTCTAGTTTCGGCAATTTATTTATTTTTCTTTCATTTTACTCTTTCTTCTGCAACTGGATCATCTTATATCTAATCTCGTAAGAAATACCTCCTAAAAAATAAATTATGTGGTTAATAGCTGTTTACATTGAAAATGATACTTACAAATAGTTGACGTCCATGTATGGCTTCCATAATCCAAAAAGGGCTCATATCCTATCTTCTGTTTGTCCACTTCTAACATTTGTGTGGTTTTATCTAAGACCTGACCAATCATCAGCCAGGCCGGTAATTGGATCCAATATTTATAATTTTTTCCAATAATCGGAATCAGCATTTTGAATTATTGATAAAAATAGTTCTGGCACATTTGACTGGTATATGTAAATGAACTCTGCTCTGTTTAGCTGACGCCTCCATAAGGGCCCTGTATTGTGCCTTGTTCAAAAAGCTATAGGCTGTCTGCAGTAACAGCACTCATTCCTTCTCTACAATGTAAAAAGGTGGGATACACAGACTGAATGAGTGGTTATATGTGTTGATTGTTGTGACAGTGTAATTTCACAAAATGAAATGAAAAATTTGAACCACAATAATTACATCCTAGTTAGTATGTGCGCCTCACTAAAAGTTAATTTGTGGAATATCTGCCACTCAGTGCTGATCTAGTGTTGATCTAAATAGACAGTCGTATGCAAAGTTTGAACACCCCCAGCCAAATGACGTTTCGTTCATTTTCCAAGTGAAAATAATTTAACATCCTCTACCAAGAACAAACAAACAAGTTTAAATTTTGGTGTAAAATTAAAAGTTTAACATATTGCAAAAACAAAACAAAATACAAAAGCTGCAGTCACTTTTACACATGCCACATTTTATGTTTTTTTTTGTTAAATTCAGCAAATAAACAGTAATTGTGCATTAAAATGTGCAGAAGTGCGTTCTCTGCAGAGGATGTGTCAACTCATTTGACCATTGACCATGGGAGCCTACACTTCATTGGCCAATTAATTGTATTCATGATCACCTTTAGTACTATATGCCAAATTTATTAAAAGTCATTAGCAAAGCTTGAGCCACTTCAGACAAACCCACTGCTAAGCCAAAGAAAAGAAAGCGAATTAAGCCCAGGTTTGGGCTTGAAACAATGAACATCCCCGGTCTGCTTGAGCTAGGCTAAGTCTGCGTCCTTTGTCTGACCCACAAGGTCTAGCTACAGCAGAAGGCCACAGAACGTCAGTTTCAGTTAACGTTAAAGTGGGAGAAAACGAGGCGGCTCGGCTGAGGCTGTGCTTAGACGGGCAGTCGAATCAGATTTGGCCTCCCACATGTCCAACGTGTATCTGATAGTTTCCTTTAAGTATTCAGTAAAGAGAACGCAGCCCAGAAGAGCAGGACAGACGGGATGAGAAGAAGAGAAATGCTA